AAAAAAATGAAAATTACAAGGAACTGCATGAAATTAAAGGAAATCATATTTGTGTCACTCTTAAATCACTTTTTGTTCACTCTTAAAACATATTTGTTCATTCTTAAATCACGTTTATATGTGTTGATGTTTTTTGAAGGACATTTCAGAAATGAAAAGAACATAAAGGAAAATTCCATTGACATGAAAGGACAATGACGGAAAATGAAAGGACAATGAAAGGAAAATGAAAAGGCATACAGGAAAATGAAAGGAACACGCAGGAAATTCAAGGAAATCACAGTTCTTTTCCAGCAGAGAAGGTTTCTGTGACTTGTTTTTGAAGTCTAAACTTAGAAAGTTATCAGACCGCAGCATTTGTGTCAAGTTTGTAGCAAGCCAAAGTTATAAATTATTTTATATAGCAAGCCAAAGTATTCTAAGTTAGGTTGGTTCGGACCCCCATTCTAAATTGGCAGGGTGTTTTGAAGTACCCGTGGGCCCACATCCTAAGTTTCGCGCCATCGTGCTAGTAGACATTTGCGGAGCACCCTGACTTTGACACCAGCGCGCCCTGACCCAGTCCGCTGCGGACCGAAGCCCTCGCGCGGGGACCGTTCGCAGAGGCGGTGAGAGCGTGCCCACTGGACTGGTGTGGCCCTCCCCAGAGGCCGAGGAGAAGCTCCGGGAGGCAGGACAGATCCGATGCGTCGAAGATGTGTGTGTTTTTTGTTAATCCCCGGCGGATGCGAGAGGAGTGGAAGGGGGAGGGATCTTGAAGATTTAGTTTAGCTGAAACCATTCGATGGACGAATTAGACCTTGTTTTTTGTGGAGAGGAGTGTTGTTTTGATATGTGTTGTTTCAATGTTTAATGCTTCCCTCCAAGATGTTCTTCGTGTCCCACCTGCGACGCAAGGTGGATGGCATCAAGCTCTACCCGACCCATGCCTGGAAGGCAAGAGAAAAAGAGACATCAGTGTGTGCGGCAGAAAGGCCAGAACCATTTTTCCGCTTGCCTGAAGCTAATCAAGAACCCTATAAGAATTCTTAAGGAGAATGGACTGAATCGTTCAGTGAGAGACAACAGGCCAAGAGAACCTGATCAATGCTCCGCAATGTAACGGCTGAGCCAAATGAATCAGTTGAATCTAAAAGGAGAACATACTGTAGCCCGGCATAGCCCGCTTTCGAGTTGAATGGTTGAAATAAGGCATTGGGGACTTCTCCAATCCAATTGGGAAATCCAGGTACGGGGTCTTCAGCACAAATGTTGTTTTTGATGTTCATCTCAGTCACCTGCGAGTAGCCTACCAGTGACCATGTCTTTTCTACGCGTGACCAGGATGATATGAATCCGATTTTGGATTCCTCGGTGAAGCTCGAGGAGTGGATGGGTGGAATGTAGATGGACCTGAACCTGGATGAAGCCAGTGTGGGTAGGTTGATGAGAAAATCTGACTGATTGAAAGGAAGTGTTGCTTGTTAACCAAACAATTTGTGTGGTTTCTTCTTTGCCTATCGAATGTGGGGGGTAGGCAGTAGGCGGGGTGAGATAGTTCAAGAGGAGTTATATCGAGTAGTTTGCCAATGTTGGGAGGAACTTTGAGTAGAGACTATGGAGTCAACACGATTGATGCTTTAGAGTCTCTCATGCAGAAGCGAGGCCCGCACAGCTCTCGGCACACCTTCGCTTCCCGACCGATCCGTCGATGTGAAGGACAAGCCTGTGATTGTGGGTGTGGCTGCCGACTCGGGTTGCGGCAAGCTGGGACCTTAGTGAAAGGAATATGTTGTGAAACAAGAATGTTGTTTTGTTTTTCTATTTCTATATTTTTTTGTCCATTGATGGTTGGTTGTAGACTGGCAGTATTTTTCCTCCGGTTGATCGAAGGTCTCAATAGGGTATGATCGGGTATGATTACAGCTAGCGCTTTGGTTTAATCATCCTCCAGTATCTTAATGGCGGGTTTTGGTCACGGTCCCACAGTTACCGCTTTGCATGAGACAAAAAGATGCTTGGACTTGGTTTAAGTGATAGTTGCATATAGTTGCCGATGTTTGCTAGACGGTACTTGACCCATAAATTTTTGTTGAACATATCTTGAAGATGTTTCCTTAAAGTTGTTTGACGATTACATATATATATATACTAAGGACCTCAGGATTTTTCCAGCCCCATTCCAAGTCTTTTGACTGGTGAAATCACTACTGTTCCCCCTGGGAGCACCTACTATGTAGACGGTCCAGCCAGGTTTCACCACATTCTATACATTGACATGTGATTTAGCCCAAGTCCATTTTTGTCTCATCTATAGCTGGCACACCTCTCCCCACCCTTCCCTCAACATTCGCTCTTAGCTGGCACCAGCTAAGCACCTTGTGCCTGCCCTGACCCGCCACGCATGTCGACCCGCGGCAGGTCCACCTTCCTTCGACGCATCTTGGGAGCCTTGGGCACCGAGGTGCAGCCCGGGCACCTCGGTGACGAGACCGGACGGCGTCGAGCCACCGGTGTAGCCGGTCGAGCCACCGGTGTGTGTGTTGGTTCGAGTGATTTGGAGTGGATTTTTGCACAGAAAGGGACTTGGATAGAGAGGTATGAATGACATGATAGACTGATAGACTTCTATATACAGACTATATAGACTCGACCGACTTTTTTTCTTGTTTGCTGTATATTAATGATATAGCTCGAACATGTCAATGTTTGTTGCCGTTTCTCTCTCCGAGAAAAGGACACCAAAACACGTTAAAAACACACACTGACTTCTGGCGATTTGGATTTCCATTGGCCGACCGCCGCGGATCGATCCGACCGCTGGGCGCGCCCAGCTTCGGGCGCAGCTCGTGCTTCGTGGTGTCAACGTCGGGACGGATGAATCCAAGTGGATGAAACGAAGCCACAAATCCCAGGGCAACAAAAAACTCTCACGCTCAAAATGAGGGCAAAGTTCAGGGGTAGATTGAGTGGCATAGCCTGACGTTGATAGGGTGGAAAGGGCCGCATTGTAGGTACAGGTAGCCCTGGTGAGTTGAAGATCAGCCTGGGCGTCAGAGGCACACGGCCATCGGAGAGATGATGACCGTGATTTGCTTGGATGACTACCACACCAACGACCGTGCTGGACGCAAGGTGCGGTGTTGTTTGTTCGGATCGAGTTGCTTTGCTTTTATTGCTGCTTAGTACAGCTGGCGCTGTTGTTTTTTCGGGGAAGAGGGGCGATTCCGGGGAGATTCATTGAGTTGCCAAGTGCTTGATAGAAAGTCTTGAGCTCAAAAAGATTGTGCACAAAAGTAGCTTTATAATTGTATGATAAGTCCTTTTTGCTCCATCGGAATCCATTGGATGGATCTGAAGCGACCTTCCACACGAGGCCGAGATATTACTGATACGGATGAACTCCGAAGAAGCTCAGCGCCGATCTGCCAAGTCGACGCAGCGCAGGCCACTGGGCTCACTGCCTTGGATGCCCGGGAGAACGACTTCGACCTGATGGGCGTACAGATCGAAGCCTTGAAGAAAGGCGCTGGCGCGCCCAAACTTTCCGGGAAGGTTGGCCATCGCTAGTAGGTTGGAGGCCATTACTAGTAGCAAGAAGCTACGAACGTAACAAGGACGCAGGATGCACCAAAACGCGGTGTTTCCTTTGGGTGAAGGACGTGGAGGAAAAGAAACGAGCCGGACGTTCGGCGCCGTGCCGTGAAAGAAAGTGGAAGAATGGTCAAACACATGGCACAGGGTCGGACAGGAAGGATTTGTTTTTTTCTACTCATTTGCCGATGGTGAATGGGAGGACACCGAATTACAAACATACGGCTGCACGGTCAGAGCATGGCAGTTCTTCATGTCAGTGCGTAGATCGCACGACGCCCTGTCTCGGTGCGATCTGTTGAGAGGCAAGGCCGTCTACAAGCCCATCTACAACCACGACACCGGCAACAAGGCCAGCGAAGTGGGCGAGCGACCTAGCAGGCCTCTTGGAAGTAGCGCGCCATGTTATTTTTGTGTAATACTTATTATATACTGTTAAGACCCCGTGTCTAGACACTAAAACGACCTGAATCCCTACGTATAGTCACCTCCAAGTTGCCAGATTTGCTATGCCGATACCGCTACAACGACATTGACCGTGTCACTGTCTTCACTCGATCGACTCCTTCGATACCTGCCATCCCCTCCCTCCGGATCGCCCAGACACGGACGGCAGGACCCTCCTGAGCTCATTGAGCCCAACAAGGTCATGGTCTTTGAGGGTTTGCACCCCATCTACGATGAGAAGGCGTTGATGTCACGGCCGCGGTGTGAGCCGTTTACGGACCGTGAGGCTTTTTTTTAAGGCCACACCATCATGGTCAGATGACTCTCCAAGTCGTTGAACTTGGTTCAACACGTCCTCTGAAGGGCTTTGGCAATTCCGGAAAATCCTTGTGACGGTCCATTGATCTTCCGAGTCTGCAGGATGTTTCCACGGGACCTGCCAAATGTAGGAGTTTGGTACTTGCATGTACTTGCCCCTTCCGCACAAAATGGAGACTTTCTTGACATGGTTGTTTTCAGCCAGTTTTTCATACACTAGCTCAATAGCTTTTCTCCCTAATCGTGGTAGATGCCAGGCTCGTGCGCAGCTGGATTTGGCCATCTACATTGACATCGTGCCACTCGATCTGCGTGGGATATGACACCAGACTCTATATGACTGCGTTTTATAGTTGTTCACCCAGAATCTGAGACAAACTACCCATACTCAATGTCATCACCAATCACATGCTTTAAATTTGCTGAGGCATTCTGACCGGCCAAATGAGAGTTGCCAGCTGTTGCCATTCCACGATGCACGCCATACGCAGAAATTCTGGGTCCGATTTGGGGGTTCACATGACCCACCCGGGATGGATGTTGAGACACCTCCGACCCTGTTCCAGTCCCCCAGCAACCCAATGAATCTCTTATAGAACCATTTCATATATATGTTCAATCTAGTTTTAGACAAACAGCAAGACACATTTAGACAAACAGCACAGACAGTGACATGTGGAATCCTTTCAGATCCATTTGTTGCTTGATCCATGGCCACTCAAGTGGATGTGGGTCATGGCAGGACACTGACTGGTTGACCTACCAACGATAGGTCGTTCGCGGCAAATGGTGGACTGGTCTGGTTCCAGGTGGGTCGCGACCCATCCCCAAGTGGGTTTCAGCTTCATTCATCCACCTTTGGCGTGGGAACAAGAATGCTACGAACGGGGCTCCTAAGCATCGCTACAAACGGAGCAAGGACGCTACTAGGAACAAAAGTGAAACCGGCATGGTCAGGAGCCACTATAGTAGTTTCTTGTTCCTAGTAAGGCCAGTCAGCCCCGTTCGTAGCGTCCGATCGCTTGCTTTGTCGTAGCCATGCCCGTTCTTCCGTTCGTAGCGTTCGTAGCGTTCCACCCTTTGGCGGTTTCAAATCGTCCCAGGAACGATGTGAAGTTCGCTTGGAAGGTGCAGCGTGACGTGGCCGAGCGTGGCTGGACCGAGGAGCAGGTGCCGCAGTGCGGATCCAGTGCGCGCGGTCTGGGCCTGGCATTCGGTGACAGATGGCGAGTGGCGGATCCAGAGCATCCGGATGAGCTATTACTTACTTGTAGTAGTTGTGTTTTTTGGGTTGGTGGACACATACGGTTTGGCCCCAGGTCCCTTTGGGACATGACAGATCTGACAGCAGCAGCGTGGTCCAGCGTCATGAAAACACGTAGGTGCGAGAGGACATCGAGAAGCGATTGCCCGATTTCTCCAAGTACGTGGATCCTCAAAAGGCCAGGCCGCGGCGGCCGGTTTTGGAGGGGGTTCGCACCGGATGGTTTATGGGGTGCTGAAGCTATCCTCATGTGGTACATGATGGATAGCATATGATAGCATGTTGATACATTTTGTAGCTGGACAGCGGATACTGGTATTATGGAATTCAAAGAAACATTAAACATTGTGGAGATATATGATGCTGCGCCAGCAAGAGCAGTTGCTTTGCTTGTGAGTCTGTACGTGCAAAAATACCTTGGCAAACTGATAGATGATGGGACGCCAGCAACGAAGTGCAAGCAAAGGATGGCATGCACAAAAACATACAAAAACAAGAAGAGTCCAGTAACGGTAGAATCCAAAAATAACGGGAAGGAAAAATTTGAAAAAAAAACATGTCAACATGTATAGCTTGAGGGACAACTATGACAACTATACAGGTTGGTGGTCTGTGACAACCAACTGCTGTACTCGGGCAACAGACTTAAATCCACACCATTTCAGGGTTGGCATATGAAATTTTGTGGCATGCACCACAAGCATCAGCGCAAGCTGTCCGACAACAACCGCAAAGAACTGCATCTAAAGGCGAGAGCAAAGGTGCAAACGGAGCTTGTGCTTGTTTGCGATGCTCCAAAGACTTGGTTGACCTGGTTGTTTCATGTCGTTACACAATGTTACACATATTGTTGCCACATTGCTTGCAAAAGTGGGTGTAAATAACCGGAAACGACTTTACCAGCAACCAAGTCTTCATTTGCAATTCAAAAGATTGTTGCATTGTGTAACAACCACTTGCTTCTGAAAGCAGTCTTTGCCCGTACGTTACATCGGAGGGCTCCCCATGGACCAACCACCGACGGAGATCCCCGCCTCTCAGGCCAACGCGGATGTTGTGCTGCGTCCGGGACACCAAGGACGAACGAAGAGGAGCGTCCGGGAAGCTGCCCAGTGGTAGGTTGGTAGCTTGGCAGTAGGGTAGGTCCTGCGGCATCAGGTTATTCTCAAAAGACGCAAAGTCATGCAAAACCACTCCATTGATCGCCATTGTTCCCAATAATTAGGTCTACAAAGAAATATTGGATTTGGTATGACAGTATGACCAGATATCTTTTTGAAAGCATGGCCGCGTTCGAAAAAGGTGCACACAGGTTTGTTGCCTAGCATCGAAGCATCCAAGCTCAGATCTACTGTAAGTGTGTTGTTCAAATCCCTCCTGACATCCGGACTCACCCTGACATCTCAGTGGCTCGTCTCTTTAGGTTATGAACCTTCCGACCAGGGCCTTCCCTTCCTGAAGGCTTGGCCATGGGTCACAAGATGGGCTGACCGCGGGGGTGGTTCGTCTTTCACAAAGAAAAGCTCCCCAGCGGCGGCAGCACCCTTTGTTGGAAGGGAAAGCATGCTTTTCATGAAGAGACTGTTAAGTAACTGTTACAGTAGCAGGGCAAGAAGATCTGAGATACCCTGCTGCCCTACTGAATCTTGAATTCACTGTAATATATGGCAGGGGCCCCACAAACCATCAAAGACCAGGTTTTCCGTACCAAGAGTATGAAAGCCTCTAATTTTTCATGGTTCGAGGGCCACTGGTACACAAATACCACCAGTGGCTGTGACTAGTTCATCGTCAGGGTGGATTCGTTGCGACTCATTTCAGCGCTTTGGGTAGGTCAAGCTGATCCAGAAGAAGGACCGGAAGAAGCATCTTTGGCGACTGCTGTGAGGATTCACAAAACCAGAAGCAGTTTCAATGCCTGCACACCGTCTTACGGAGAAGTTGTTATTTGGAAGCCCTGTGTCGATCCCTGTGTCATGAATGTCCAAGATCTCCAACCCTCAGCCCTGAGATTTGGCACTGAAATTAAAGAGTCTTGTGGGTACAAGGGCTGATCGAAGCCAAGCAGCACTTCAGATACGGAAGACTTTGGTTGGCTGTTCGTGTGGTCAGTGGTGTGGTTCTACTCTCCCTCGACCAGAAGACCTGCACCGCCATAAGATCTCTACACCCTACAGTGCCTACAGACTACAGAACTCTTGCTTCCAATCGTCCCACTCCACAGATCATAGTTCACCACCTACATGGGATGAAGTTCAGGCGATGTCACACGGCTTGGACGAGCCCGCCATGCTCCGTCAGGACGGCAAGTTCCCAATGATCACTCTGAAGAAGGATTTGGAGCTCACTGGCAGCAAGCCAGGACCTCAGAACGATTTTTTCTTCGCAACTCTGTGACCAGAGTGAGATGTTGCCACCATTTCAGAAGACTGGCCACCTTTTGTCATTTGATGGGTGGTTCCCAAATGGCGTTACACTCGTGCAATGCTTCGCATGACACACCTAGTCAACCACTAACTTCAACGGCTCACCGGATCGTATCGTCCAACGGCTCATCGCTTTTCCACGGCGGAGCCACGGACGTGGAGACCGTTGGAGGCCTGGTGCCACGCTGAAGATGTACGATGACGACTGGCTCTTCAGCTGAGAGTTACGGATGGTATCGGATGGTATGACGTGGCCCTCGAGCGGGGAAGAATGAAGAAAGAAACGCTCCAGTTGTTTTTGACTTTGAAGCTTTGAATGGTTGTGGAGAGTCACTGGAGTTGGATGCATTTCTAGCATTTCTGACGCGGCGTGTGTGGTTTGAAGGGTGACTTCAAGGGCACACGTCGTCGGCGTTTCAAGCGGGTTTGGTCTCGGATTTAGAAAGACGTGTTAAGCATGTGTTAAGGGTTTGTGGGTGGTAAGGAGTTTTGCTTGCTTTTCATAAAGAGGTGCAGGATGGTGCAGGGGACATATCACAACCAATTCAGAGGCCAAGGACCTTGTTGCTTGGAAGGGCACCAAGAGCACTCACCAAGAGCACTCACCAAGAGCACTCACCAAGAGCACTCA